GTTGTCTTGTGGCAATATAACCGGCATGGTTATCTATCGTGTACGTGTGTGTACGTGTGTGTGTGTGTGTGTGTGTGTGTGTGTGTGTGTGTGTGTGTGTGTGTGGGTGGGTGTGGGTGTAGCGTGTCTGCCTGAGTGTGTACGAGTGTGTGTATATATATGCTCGTGATGTCTGTTTTCTTTCAATCTAAAGCTTACGTTTAAAGAAGCAGCAGCAAGATACGGTATATATATATATATATAATATGTAGGCGAATGGGTATATAGAGGCCATAATCACGTATGTATATATATATATATAGATATATATGTATATACGGTTCATACAGGTACAGCGAGCGTGCATGGAGATTCGTTGTATATACTGTCATGTATGGAGATCTCCCACCCTTGTGAGATTCGCTTGCCTTTTTCGAGCTGTCGATCGCTCGCACAGCTAAATCAACAAACAGAAACTCAGTCATAATAAATGCAGCCCGCCATCGCTCGCTCCTTCGTTTGTCTCCGCGCCGCCACGCGATTCCCCGTCGATCTTTAATCCCACGCGTTCGAGGAGTCGCATCTTCCCTCCCCCTTCCTCGCGTTTCAACGGATTCGCGCTCGCGAAACTCTGCCCTTATCTTCAGATTAGTCAACGACGAAAACTGCGCTTCAAATCGAGGCTATCCCGCGACGTTAATCTAATTAGGGTAGTCGAGTGTAATTTTGCGGGGCGATTTTTGACGATTCCGTCGCGCCAGGAATTCGCGATCGAACGCGACGATGGCCGAGGGCGCTGCAGGAGGCGGCGGACGAGGAGGAAAGAGAAAGGGGAGGAGGAGGGGGGAGAGGAGGTGGAGAGGTCTCCTCTCAAAGTGCACTCTCACCTCGCAGTGGAGTTTCGCTTCGCTCGAGGAGAGCACCGTCCTCCTCCTCCTCCTCCTCCTCCTCCTCCTCCGCCTCCGCCTCCTCTTCGTTCCCCTCCCCCTCCATCGTGACGGTAACCGTCGCGCTCGCGTCCGCATCGGAACGAGGACAAAACCGCGGGTGAATCGCGCGAGAGGGGAGCGGGTCCTGAGTGCGACGTACGCCGGGGAGACTCGCGTTCGCCAAACGTGCCGGAGGAAGATGTCCTGCGACCGAGGCCTGCGGTCGCGGGACACCCGTCGACTTCCGGCACGAACCGAGCGCGAGCCCCACGGCGATTTTGATCGCGCCTCCAGGACGAGTCCCCGCAATCGATCGTAGACCGCGCGGAAGGATCGCGAGGACGACCGGGACGCAGCGTACGCCTGCGTCACGGTCGCGACGCCGTTCCTCCCGTCGTCGGCCTTGATCGCTCCACGGGGATAAGAGGTAAGAGGTCTGTCCGATTGAGATTTCCGCTCGCGATGCCGATTTCACACCCTTCTCCCTTTCCCTCTCTCTCTCTCTCTCTCTCTCTCTCTCTCTCTGTCTTTGTCTACTACATGTATCTCTTGCTTTTTCTTTCTTTCTTCCTTTCTCTCTTTTCTCCCCTTTCCTCACTCACTCACTCGCGCTCGAGCGGCGGCTGCATGGAGGATTGACGAACAAAAATGTGAGAGAAAGAACAACACAAACGGACGTGTGTGAAGGGGCGGAAATGAAGAAGAAGAAGAAGAAGAAGAAGAAGAAGAAGAAGAAGAAGTAGAAGTAGAAGAAGAAGAAGCTGCGCCTATAAAACGTAGACACATAATATCTGTACATATGCATGAGGTCGATCGATCGATTCATCCACCAGTCAGTCAATCGAAAAGCAATTGACGAAAGGGCTCAGCCGGGCGATCGGGGGAGCGGGGTGGGGGCGAACGGGGCGAACGTTTGACTGAACGAAAAAACGCAAAGGCAAGTCGTGTCTTTTGAATGTCGTCGGCAGAGTTACGTGTCGTTGCGTGAGCAGAGAGAAGTCCGAGGAGCCCCGCTTTCGCCGGGGCTTCGGAGGATCGACGACGGAGGCTTCGTCGGTCCTCCGCGCGACGACGGCCGATTGTCCGATTGTTGTTTAACGCTGGGCCAGGGCGAGCCAATTCGAGGGAGAAGCTACTTGCGACGACGCGCGTCTTCCGGCGCCGATCGGCGAATTCCTTTCGGCCGCGCTTTAGGGGAAACGACCCCCGTGACTCGTCCAAGTTCGCGGATTTTTTTTCTCTTTTTGCTTTCGTTTGTTCAAGACACACGTCGAGACTCGGAGGGGAGAAAGCTCCGAGGAGCGGGAGGTCCTGAGAAGGACTCGATGATCGGCGACTCCTTTCTATTCACGCGCGTATCTGTGTGTGTGTGTGTGTGTATGCACGCGTGTTCACGTTTCTCTGTACGCGCGTATGTATGAGTGTTCTTCGCGTTTATGTGTATACGTGTGTGTATGTGTGATATATAAAGACAAAGGTCAAAGGTCAATGTACGTCTCGAACCATTACAACAATGTCATAGTAATTTGGTTTAGAACAGTGTGGTTATCATAGGTGGAATTATTACGAAACACCGAAACTGAGAGACTCACAAGCAGGAAGAGGAGGGTGTTTTCCTTCGTTTAGAGTTGACCGATCTCACGTTAACATTGCGCATCTGGTAGTCTGCAATGCAAAACACACTTTGGTAGGGTCAGGGACGGACGACGGCCTTCGACGAGATGACGAGAAACGGAAGGCGACCTCTCTCTCTCTCTCTCTCTCTCTCTCTCTCTCTCTCTCTCGCTCTCTCTCTCTCGCTCTCTCTCTTTCACTCTTGACTCGCGAAGATCTTTCGCTCTGTCTCTCTTTCTCTCCCTCTCTCTCTCTCTCTCTCTCTCTCTCTCTCTCTCTCTCTCTCTCTCTCTCTCTCTCTCTCGTTCTCTCAGGTCGCCTTTGTGCGCAATTAATTCCGTCGAATTCGCGGAGAAACGCCGTCTGATGATCAAGCGCCGCCCGACCGGTCCGATATGTAAAAATCTTCATCCATGATGTCCGTCGTAAACTTCACTCGAATCAGAGTACAGCCGGCTGATCGAAGGCACTCCTTCGCCGACGAGTTTGCAACGCTCTTCGCAGCCAACGGAGAAGAATGGATCTCCCGAGAATGACTGCGAAACAAATTCACCTGTTGGATACGCGATGCGTTACGAAACTCGCCGAGGAGGGGCGCGGCGACGTTCAATCGGCGGCGACGAACGCTCGTCAACCGAGGTGTTTGACAAAAGGATGTAAGCAAAAGAAGAACAGAAGAAAACGTGTCTCTTTCCCGTGCGGGCCGAAACACACTCGTCACGGATCAAGATTTCTTCCCATCGGCAGCGATCGCGCGCGCAGCGCTTAATTACCCCGACGCCGCTTCTCCCTGGTCGCCGTTGTCGCGCTTTTCTCTTCTTCGTCCTACACTCTCCTCTCTCTTTGTCATTTTCTTTCTCTCTCTCTCTCTCTCTCTCTCTCTCTCTCTCTCTCTCTGTCTCTCTCTTTCTCGCTCCATCTCTGTCCTTTAAGTCGGGGCGGCGCGTACAAACCCTCTGGTCGTCAATTTTCTCTTTCGCGCTCCGCCGCCCCCGCCGCGGTGGAGAAGCGACGAACGGCCTCGGCGGGAGTATCGCGACGCTCGGCTGTAACGCTCGATAACGGTTACGTAATCGCGCGGAACCTCGCGTCGCGACGCCCGCGTCGCCGTTCGCGCCGCGCGGAGAGCGACGACTGTCGAGAGGCGAGCAGCTCGCGGACGTTTCACTTCGGTCGCGCGCGCGACCGGCGAGTTTACGCATCGGAGGGAGGGGAGGGGAGGGGGGAATCGGCGAGCGTGAATTTTTCGCACAGCTCACGCGAGTAATTCGTCGGTCGGCCGGCAAGAGCCAGCCGCGGTAGGAAGCGTGGCGGTCGCGCTCGCCTGACCGAGCGCGACCGTAACTCCTTGATTCGCGGCCGGCCAGAACGCGGTGGTAACTCCTCGCCGCGCCGGTCCGACCACCCGCGACTGTAACTCCTTACTTAAACCGCGGCATCTCTCGACGGCATCGTCGCTTCCCCTCACACCCCCTTCCTCTCTGTCTCCCTCCTTCTCCCGTCCGTCCGTCTCCTCTTTCTCGTTCTCTCTCCTCGGCGGGGGCGAATGCGGCGGTGGGTGAGCGATCGAATTAGCGGCGAGAAAGAGAAATATCACGCGGGGAACCGTACGGGGATCTGCTGCCCGCCATTGAAATAAAGAGGGACGCTGGCTGATCAGAGAGCAAGAAACGCAAATCAAGTGGCCCTCGGCGCGGCCAGTCGTTGTATCTCTCTCCTTCTCTCGGTCTCTTGTTCCTTCTCTCTCTCTCTCTCTCTTTCTCCCTTCATTTCTCCATCTCTCCTTCTCTCTTTCTCGCTCTCTCTCTCTCTCTCTCTCTCTCTCTCTCTCTTTCGCGCGGGTAACCGAACTACGGTAGAAGTCCACTCTAAATTCGAAACGAAATCAACGAGCCGAACCGAGCGGCCGCTTCGCGAAAGCGGAGAGAATTCGAGGGTCCTCGTGAATCTGTCCGGCTCGTGATCGGTCAAGCTCTTGATCCGCGCCTCTCTTCCTTCGGCACCCGGCTGGATCCGCAAGTCCAAGGATACGGGCTAACCTCGGCGAGTTGGCCGAGGGACGCCCGGTATCCGACGATCACGAGAGGATCCCGAGGATGCGCAGGATCGCCGTCGCGGATCGCCGAGGGATATATCCTCGTCTCTTCTTCTCTCTCTCTCTCTCTCTCTCTCTCTCTCTCTCTCTCTCTCCCTCTCCCTCTTTCTTTTTTCATCCTTCTCCTTTTGTCGCGAGACTTGCCCCGCGACAAAACCCGACGATCCGAGCGGCTGGGATCCAAGGATCCTCGGTGATCCACGTGCTTGCCTCCCAGTCGGATCTCTTTGAGGATCCACGGAGCGCCGTTGCCGGAGATTCACTCTTTTTCTCTCTCTCTCTCTCTCTCTCTCTCTCCTTCTCTCTCTTTCTTTCTCGGTGATCTCTCATCGTAATTGCGCGCGATAATCGCGTTCGTCGTCGTCGTCGTTATCGTTATCGTAATCGTCATCGTCATCGATCGCGATCATCGACACTTTCGCGTTGCCCCGCGGATGCGCCCGAGGACGCGCTGGCTCCTGAAAAGAAAAGCGTTATATGTCTGCCGACACATACAGGATGCGGGGGAACGCGTCTGTTCGCGTGTGTCAATGTGCGTGTGCGTGCGTTGTGTGTACGTGCGTGTGTGTGTATGTACACACATGTGTTTATATATATATGCACACCGAGTCCTGCGTTGTTAACGCACGCCGTATTTAGTCCACGCGAGAGCGTGGGATCAGAGACGTAAACGGACGTAAGCGGGAATAAAAAGAGCTGAAATATCTGTCGAGTCCGACGATTTGCTCGTCCTCGTCGTCCTCGTCCTGCGCGTCCATCCGATCGTCGACGTCGGGATGCACATCGCGCGCCGCGTGCGCATGCACTTGCAGCCGATATATTTTCCGTTCGCCTACGTCGTCTCTTTTTTCGCTACGAGGCGGACGATTAAAAAAAAAAAAGAAAAATAGAAAAAAGGAAAATAAAAAAAATCAGCCGAAAGGGAGGCGCTGCGATTCGGCCGCGACGAACGAGGGGAGGGGCGGTGAGAGCGATCGAGACGCTTTTTGGGCCAGGACTCCGCGCGCCGATTAGTCGTCCGAAGTATTATCGAAACGCGCGCGTGCGCACGCGCGGCGGGCAGCCGGATCGATACGTCGATTCTTAAAGCCCGCCTTGTATTATTTTCAGAATTCATCCCGCGAGGAATGTTGCAGTTAGACGTGGAATCAAGTCCAACGTTCGGCAACACACGTGCCGTCGCCGTCGCGGCTGATTTCACGTAACCTAACGTAACCTAACCTAACCTAGCCTAACCTAACCTGCTTTCTCTCGCCCGCTCGCTCCTACGTGCCGATGAATTCGCAATCGGAATTAGGCGTTGACATGAGGAGCCAAGTTTGTCGCGCGCGTTACTTCAGACTGGTCAATTCCGCACGAAACGGGGCAAGAAAGCCCGTCCGTCACTCTTTCTCTCCCTCTCTCGCCGTCCTTCTCGGAATTAATCTACGCGAAGGAGGAGGAGCCTTCTCGCGCGCAGGGAACACAAGCCTCTCCGCCATTTTGCGATGGAATGCGTCCGCGAAATTAGGCGAGGTTCTAACCGCTTAGGCGTTTTCTCAGGCGCTTCTACTGCCACGCGGCGGATATTAAATCATCCGTTCCTGCGTGCGTCGACCGTCTCGCGATCGCTCGAACCGCCGACGGTGAAAGCGCGCGTGGGAAGAAGCGGAGACGGCGTTCCGCGACGAAGCGGCGGAACCTTTTGAAATTTCGAGTTTTGCATCTTCAATGTTACCGGCCCCCCGCCCCTCCTCTCCTTCCCTCGCGCTCGCTCTCTCGACGCCAGCGTTCGACGTGAGAAGGCGCGACGGCGTTTTAATTAACTGCAAAATTAACGTCCCACGGTCGAATTGTTAATTAAAATCCCGCCGCGGCGCATTGAATCGGCTCCGAGCTCCGCGTAACGACGCGAGAACGACGCGTCGGCCGCGAACAAACAGGCGCGCGCAAGGCAAACAAACACCGGAGTGTCCGTCATTGTCGTCTTACCGGATCGAAAATACGGCGGCGTTGGCGTAGAACGGAATCAAGTTGGGACTATTTTTCCGAGCCGCTTTCCGTGCGCCGCGCCGTGCCACGCGCGCGACCTGGTTATTTTCAGCGGGAAGAAGGGAGGAATAAAAAATGAAGCCTCGCGCGCGTCCGTCACTCGCGCGACTCGAGCCCGAGGATGATTACTAGCCGTCATTTCGCCGTTTCAGCGATTCTCGCGAAAATATCTCACCGCGGCGAGTGAGCGCCACAGGCTGCGGTCGGAGGGGCGGGGTGGCCGCGTTTAATGTATTCATTTACGTTCTAGCCGATCGCATTAAGCTCCCGGCTCGTCGACGTTCGCCGCTCGGAGTCGGACGCACGCGTGAACGCGGCACAAAGGCATCTCACTAAACGCGTTTTAATTATTGAGATCGCGGGCTACTTTGAGCGAGCTTTTTCCTCGCGACCTCCGTTCGCGATCTCGACGGAAGGTGTAAAAGAAACGAGATACCGGAGAGAGGCAGAGCAAGAGAGAAAGGCAGAAGAATTGTTAATTCGCGGCTAACCGAATGCAAATTGTGTGATCAATTAATTAACCGCGGTTCGACAGAGGAGACTCGCAGCCCCCCCGGCCGCGGGCGGGGAGGGAGGAAGGAAGGAAGGAAAGACTTCATCGCGCGGTTTCTCCCGCTGGAAATCCTCGCGGCAAGGTTCATCTTGGCTCATCATTACTTTTTTCGCCCCGCGCGGTTATTTGCGATTAGCGCGTTGCGCGCCTGCGGGGGCCCGCGAGAGCGATCGTTCCAAGGATCCGCGGATTTTCCTGCGCCGCCGGACTCGAGCGCGAAATCGAGCGCGCCGACAGGTACAATGCAAAATTCACTCGATTAATCTCGACCTCGAGATCTGCCCTCCACGCCATCTCCTGCGCCGTTGCCGATGACCCGAGAGCGTCCCGACCTTCCCGCTGCCGTATTGCCGGCGTTGAAGTTCCAATCGGGGCGAGGGGCGAAAGAAAGACTCAACGCGACCCCCCACGTCGCGTCGGTGCGGGCGATCGCGTGCGACTCGGAAACTCCGGAGGAATTCCGGAGACATGGATCGAAACCAATA